TCAGTCAAATTATACAGTGGATTAACTCCTCAGAGTGATCGCATCCCTTTTCGTTTGCCAGAGTCACGTTCTCGGTGAAAAAAAACAAGTAAAGAGTAAATATCAAAATTACCAAAAATTGAAGGACAGGGTAGATACTGAGGGTGGGTTATGTTTGTTGTACATGATTATTTTCGAAATTGGGTAATTCAGTGAAATTTTATTTTTACATCTACGTATCCACTGCTCATGGCTACAAACTACACTTGTGCGTTATCAGTCATCCCCTAAGTTATCCTAGATTCCGTAAGACGAAGCGAACGCTCGTGGGTGGTACGATTGTTAACGGATCTTTTTATCTTGACTTTTATTAAGCACCCCTTTTTTCCCAGCCTTGTACTATAATGACACCTGCACCGGAAAAATGCCTTTCTGAAAATGTCGGCTCCCGACTGTGCGCAAATGTGACACGTCCATCGACAATGGCCGTATTGTATCGCAGTGACAAAAAGCTGTAGATACAAAAATGCCAGTAGATACATACGTATGCATCTGCATGGCTGAATATGCTGCAAGCAGTAGCGTAATTCCCTGCAGTGGAAACGTTAAAAATTCATTAGAAACGTCCTAGCCTTTTCACTGCTATTCTTCTTTGAGCCCGTAGCCGTCACGGCCCTCTATTAATATTGACAATAATATTGACAATAAAGTGACGCGTACATTAAAAAGGTCCGAAGAATCAGCAGATGCCTTTCTCGATATTTTTACTTTAGAGATTCGCGAAGGGGTTGGATTTTCGTATATATATATAAGGGCGTTGATAGATGATGTGCTGGATTTCGAGTGCAGGTGTTGCCAGCCTATCGGAGAGGTCAGCTGATTTCGATGGCTACTAACGGCTTCTCTACGTATATGGTGGTGGAAGGGTTTACTCTCCGAGGGGCTGTGGCATTGAATGAGGGTTGGCAGCCTGGGTGGTTAACGATAGATCTCAACCCCAAGCATCACCAATCGCGATTATATCTTAGCTAATTGCCAGTTACCCGCAACCTGGTAACGGCTCCATTCTCATCCTTGATTTACGTAGTGAGGATTGAGATGCTTCTATCTCGGATCCTTAAACAATTTGAAATCCTCCGTTTTATATATTTCTTATTCAATCCTATTTAGAATTTAATATCTTTCACGTGGTCGCATTGCGAATCACTGCGTAGGATATTTATGAAAAAATTGATGTATCTTTACCGACGTATCTTTACCGTAGGGATGGTTTAATTTTCACGTATAAATTTTATCTTATGATTTTGTGGCATTTGTTAATTTATATGCATACACAAGAATCGTCTTATCTGCGCAGGTGCTTGGGAATCGGGAGTGATCAGAAATTTTACTAGGCTTACGATCTCTACGATTGGCAAATACAAGTGCACCGCGCATACATACATATGGAGATTCAGATATTTGAATATTGTAATCAGTGGCACGAGCTATCATTACCACATTAGGTAGTTACCAAGCCGAGCGTCCTGCGGAACGTGATGCGTGATTAGAATATTACGAAGATAAGAGAGACCAATGTCTGTGATTAACTTCGAGGCCGCCATTGGGAAACCATAAACCTGATACGTAGACACGTAAAGTAGTAAGTATACCGGCAAGTAGCCTTTGCGAGGTCTACGCGTTATTTTCGAAAATCAAAAATTGCATCAGTCACAAAATATATTTACTTGTTGATTTTCACAGCATTAAAGCTGTTCTTGTATAACTTTTTATTACACGGTTATGTAAGAATCCAAACTATTTTCCAGAAATATTTGAATATCGGAACGATACTATTTTTTTTTGGTTTTTATCCAAAAAATACAGGGGCGCACTCGCTACGGCTACTATGTGCAGTATTCGGTGCACTCACTGCACTACTGTATAGCAGTGTCCTGCAGCATACATTGCATTCTTTGCACTCGGCTTTTGCTTGATATTTCGTACCATGATATTTTTTCCCCATAAATCACCTAGAATATCGGAACAAACGATTTTATCCTCTATCCTCGCTGCCGACCCACCCAAATTTAAAAACGCTTCGCGGTAATTTCGCAAGCAAGGGGGCACTTTGATTTATTTTTTCTTGACGATTACCTGTGTATTTATCATTAATTCGGATACGATTGATAACACATCCCTCTAATTATTTTTCTCCAGTCCATTTTGTATAATCAGTAAACTTGGTATTTTTTAAATATTTTTTTTTAGTTTATATTACACGACGCCGTTATTCGCTGGGCAGTCACATATTAAACCTCACGAAGTACACTCTGCTATTATTTCCGCCAGCCGTGCACTTCGTGAGAGCCATCTGGCAATCAACAGTTAATAACAATGCATACATTATAAATTAAATTTTTGCAGTGCAGTTTAAGTAATCACTTACTAAGATTGTTCTTATCGCAATAATTGTTCACTTTTATGGAACCTCTTTTTCAAATTTAATTCAGAACCCGGTTGATTATGTAATTTCAAATATTTTTTTATGCGTCCGTAATATCTTTTTGAACTTTTTTTAATATAATGTTGAAACTCAACGTGGACACCTTCGGAGGCATTTTTAATTATCATACTCGATCTTTTTGTAAATTGGTATACGCCTAGTCCGATAATCCAGATCTGGTTTAACCGTATGCCATTGTTCTGCTTAATTTATTCCGCCATATACGTATCTGTAATGTATTGAGAGGATGGTTCCCAGGCGGCCGACATAGTAATTGCAGCCCTCCTTAATTATAGCTAAATACTCGTTGTGGCCTTTCTCATTTTGACGTTGAGCAATTCTCCGCGTAATTTCGTTCGCGACCTTTTCCTAACCACCCTTGGGTATCCACGAGAGACATAAAGCCTTCTTCTTAATTGTACATAAATTTTTTTCGCATGCATATATACATATATATATATATATATTTCCATCTTTAAAATTAGAGGAAGACGAAGAAAAATCCATGTATCCCTATTCGCTATTCACCGTTCACAGGTTGACCCCCTTTGTTAATCATCGAAATTGACCTTTCGGATAAAAATAATAAAACTGAAGTTCATAATAATTATAGCGTTACATGCTACTTTTGTTTTGTTCGATGTAACAGGAAATTGAGTTAATTAAAAATTTGAATTCGTTAAATATAACTCACCGCAATTCGGATGAACGTTACCTCTCCGAGTGGTTACTAAATTAGCCTCGACTGCTGTCCATACCAATTAACTTTAAACCTTCTAATTAATTTCCGAGGATGATTCGTGCGAGCACACTCCTCTACAAGCTAATAACGTCGTATAATTCGCCGAGTAATTTTCTCGATTGCACGGGGCACTGTCGACCTCGAATAATTATTCTCGACCAATCGACGGGATTCGCACGTACGAGCACTCGTACAGTGCTTGAGCACATCAGTCAATACGTAAACTTTATCGAGGATTGTTTCAATTACACGAAAATCCACTTTGCTTAAAATATTTAAACGTTTCGGCAATATTTAGTTGGGTCTGGTTTGATCTATACAGAGATCTCCCCCAGTCAATTCCCTAATTTATTTACACCGATTGATAGAGGCGACTACGCAGAGCCATTCGGGAACGAACGTATCTCGGCATGAGTAAAATTTGACGTTATTGTCAAAGAAAAAAAAAAGATGCACTTTTTCCAAAATCTAAGTGTGCCGCTATTCTTATTGACTAATTTTTCATTCCGTAGCAAACTGTTGTCGCCAACTAAGTTCAAAGGGAACTCGAGGATGGTAAATTGTCCCAGTGAGAAATCACTGAGGTGCATAAATGCATGTATACAGTATCGAGGTCTGTTTAAAGCCTCGCGATAGGGTTCTGTTCAATTAAGTAGCATACCTCGCAGATGCATTCAATTAGGTACCATACTACTAAGAGCCAGTACGTATGTATTCTTCGCTTAATAGCCTGAACGGCAATAGCGAACGTTGATCGATCGAGGTTAAATTAAGGCTGATATTATGGTGCGCCTACATGCATTTATCGAGCGCAATTTGCGTGACAAAGGGAAGTGAAATCAACTACAATATTGGCAAACCCCTGTCTTGTATTGATGCATTATGATTGAAATATTCACCGTAGCAGCAGTGCCATCTAGGAATAGTTTGATGCATTAGGCAGAGTAATTTCGTGTGGAACGGAGTGGAGGTACCGTAAGTTGTATATTGACTTGGAGCTTGGAACAGTTTTGAGCTTTAGTGGATGACACTTTTAGACATCGTTACATTTTTATTTAAGTACGTAATTGAATGTAAAGCCTGCTTAGAGTCTCTTGTCTGTAAATACGAGATCAGTGAACGGTGGAAACGTAAATCCTTCTTAAGGATAATCCGCGGATCTAGACGTGTACCACTCGTATTTTCTTTCGAGACGAGTAAGTCCCGTTTGGGACATTATTATTTGTGAACATAAATCGTTTCTTGTATACTATGAGCTTATCTTGTAATTTTATTGTGTATCTGTATTTTATCCTACGAGCTTAATGCGTTTTGTAAAGATAAGCCTTAATGATGGAATCCAAGAGTAGGTGGTCGAAACTTCTTTGTAGGACTTGCAGGGTTTTGAAAAAGGCAACATTCGTATCGACTGACTTGAGCTAACCTTTTTTACCGACTGTTCATTTGAGCTTGCGAGCATCTTTGATGGTACGTGCGGGATCTGCTTTATCGACAGTGGGACATCGGCAAGTAAGAAATATTAAAAGCCGTCAGTATCATGTGTCAGATTTTTACTGTACCGACACACGAGAATGCTCGATCTGTTTATCTTCAGCGAGTGTCAAAAGTTCATAGGTCGATAATGACGATTTCTGTACTGGAATTATCAGCTTTCGATATTCAAAATTCTCGATGTGTACTTTATTTTTGAACAGCCTATTTCAGATTTGAGGGAAATATATTTTTCAGTTTTTATATTAATGTGCGATACCAAAAGTTTGTTAGGTATTTACGAGCAGAACTAAAGCACGCGTATCACTGTTATCATCTGCTTTTATTGTACTAATTATGTATATGTCGATAATAATCCATTGAGTTTGTTCGATACTATTTCCAATAGAATATATTACACAAAATTCAGATTTTACGACTTGTCACTGAGACGTCCGCAATTATTAAGTGATCTTCGACATATCCTTATATTATAATTTTTATTATATTTACAGGTATCCTCACGTATCCTATATTCAATCACAATCGTACGACAATTACGTAAACGTCACTGTCAGTAATACCCACGGGTAGTACTGCCATATCAGTTAATATACACATCGATCAGATATTAATGTTTAATCCAAAGGAATTGCTTGGCTCTCGAGTATTTCGACGGATCAACGTCGAAAGCGCAGTGGCATGGAAAAACACCCACGTGTATGATGTTTAACATACGCGTTGTTTTTCTTAAAGTGTACTTTACAACGAGTAGGTGCTCGAGGCTTGCAGAAAGAGGAAGGCGGTTAATATTGTGAATAATGTGTTGCGACTTTCGTGGTAATTTGTTCTCGCGGCGTTCCACTGATCGTGATGAACTGCCGCTTGCTTTTCACCTGAAAAAAAAAGAAGAAAAAAACGGATAAATAATGAGAAGAATTAATAATTAAAAAATGGGCTGGGAAGAAAAATTTTAAGAAATTCACAGATACAGGACGGAAATGAGATTTGGGCAGATTTAATGTTACGGTAACGCAACAACGTTACTAAATCGTATCGCATTATTGCGATATTGCTAATAATAGGGAAGTTTCCCTGCAAACCAAATATCCTGCAGGGCACTAAACGAATTTGAATCTTTTCAATTTTGCTTCCTTATCCTCTCAAAGTCCTTAAGATGTTTGCAATTTTTGTCTTGATAATTTTTTTTTATATTTTTACTAAAATTACTCACAAAGGCGTTGATTTGGTATGGCTCTAAAATTTCATGAAAAAAACAATATCCGTTTCAACTTCAATATCTCCTTTATACACATTTGTGTCTTTGTAGACCTTGGAATATCTATTGAAAAAAAATCCTTTCCATAATGGGAGCTTTTATTGGTGTTGGTATAAGTCCCTCTGGGATGCGAATTTCTTGCTGAACGATCTGCTCTCCATTTTTTAATAAATTTTTTTAAGTGTCAAGCCGAATGGTGCATGGGTGGTGCATTTTACTAGATGCTCATATTGGACATTTATGGTCGTAGGCTGTGCGAAACAAGAAGAAACAATAATGTTTTTTTTTTTACTGTGCCAGTAGACGTGGCTTTCACTAAACGATCGGTTCAGTATTCAATAAAAATTACAAATGATATTTCCAGAATTGTTCATTGTGTATTGTGTACTGGACTTGATTACAAACGGATTCAATAACTAATCGATTGAGCATCTGTATTGTGGTTATATCAATTGATTTTTTACTTTATTATTTTTATTTACCATTGAGCACGTGAAGCTGCACCATCGTGGTACTGAATTGTCCAAGAGAGCACGTGTAAACGCCGCTGTCAGTCTTTTCCGCTCGTTCGATTTTAAATCTCGTCACTAATTCTTCGTTCGATCTGAAATCCGATAAAAACTGTATGAATAAGGTGAAAAGAAGCCTCACTTATTTTTACATACAGGCAAAACATCGTACAAAGGTTTCTTCGTCGAAAATTCGATAAAAAGATTCGTCAATAAAGACGAATGGAGTAGAGGGATTATCCTGTACTTGATGTTTTTTTTTTATTATCACAACTTCTATGAAAAAAAAAGTAGGGAAACGAATTTTATCGCACAAATCTCATTTCTACTAAAAATACATCCAATCCGTGTAAGTACGTACGGAGGCACTTCAACGAAACTAAACGCGGACGCATTAACTTAAACTTATCAGTAAATGATATTACACGGATTCGCTACGAGCACCCGGGGAGACTCCATTGGAAATGTCAGAAGTGCGTAGATTTATGCTTACCCGTTTATACGATAAACGCTGACGTGATCCGGTAACATCTCACCATTTTTCTTCCACGTCGGATGTGGCACGATTGAACCAGGCTGAGACGGTCGCACGATACAGGAAAGCTCTATACCACTTCCGGTTTTATAATAACGATCCCGCACCTCGTGACTAGCCTCATCGAGGATTTTAATATCCGGTGCTGCAAGAGATACACGAGATTAGCTTTGTTTGACCTTCTTAAAGTAGTACGAAAATGCTCCACGAAAAGTTTTAACTGTCTTGAAAATAAAAGCTCTAGGTACTAATAGAGATTAAATTGATAAGGTTAATTCGATCGTATATATATATATATTATTCAAGTTTTCCCCAATATATATTTTTTTTGCTTTTGTCTATATACTTGGCATGAGCTTTTAGAACGTATTTTGACCAAGCCCAACAGTCAGCTGTAGCGAGGTACGTGAAATGCTTGTTTTACACGGGTGTCGCGGCTGCGAGTAAAGTCGATGTCTTTGTTACCGTAGATAAGCCAGTCTTCGAGCCAGCTTTCGTGAAAGCTTTTGAAAGCCGCCAAGAGAACTTGCGGTTCTCCCTATAGCGTCCTTGCATTTGCAAGCTTTTTGCACCCGGTAATATCCTTCCAGGCTCCACCTGATGTAGATGTTTCCTTAGTACAACAACACCGACACTATTTTACTCTTTTTCTTTCACCTGCCTTTTGGCAACTGGCATTCACATTGTTGTATTATTCCAAAAATTCGCACCAATTGCCAAATGTTATGTCGAAATCCGCAAGCTGGAGTTTATACGTAAAAGATATTTGATGCGTATGAAAAAAGCTGCGATTCCTTGCTCTCTCGAGACTGTTTTTTTTAAATTCATATTATATTTAAATTTAAGATACAACCTTTCATTGAATTTGTATTCGCAAAGGTAAAAAAATGCTATACGGATATTCAAAATTATTGATAATTTTCTTGCGATATAGTAACACTTCTGACAGTTTAACGCGTAAAGCCCTTAAACTTTATCCGAGAGGTATTGAAGCACAGGAGCAAGCTGGTAAATATTGGATTCTGAGTTATGCAAGTTACTTAGTTAATTCACTTGACAGAGCATAAAGTGATAGCAACGTCAGAGTTGCGAAAGCGAAGTATTGTATTAACAAAAGGGCATTTTTTAAATCGTTTAACCAATTTTTGAACAATTTGCAAGTGCCGATCACCCAGGAATGGAAAGTGGAAAATAAAGCTCGATTTGAGTCAATAATATATTATTGAAATATTTCAAACACTTGCAACTGTCCAGCTACAATTTGGACTTGGAAAGTTTATAACAATATTTACATTGCTTTTCTAAGCATACTTGAAATAATTGTTGAACACGTAGTGAATCTTATGTAACGAGGGTCTTTTCAATCGAAAAGTGTCTTTTTTATACTGTATTTCAATATGGTCGCATTCATTTCAAGAATCTCAATTATTTCAACCCCCTTTGGGCCCGAAGTAGTTAAAGACGTCTCAAGACGCTTTGCGTCGCGACGCTTCTTTCAAAGTCTTCTTTCCTCTGATAATATCCCACCAGCTCCAATTCGAAGCTTTACGGATGTTTTATTCCCTGATAACGACCCGTTTTTAGAGGGGCTGTCACCCCTCACGAAAATTTGTCGCACCCAGTAAAAAAAATGTTCGATCTACTCTTGGATTACTCTTTGATAATTTTACATTTTACAACACGCTTATCACGCGACGTATTGACTTTCACTCAGGTATTTCATTTAATTAAAGGCAAGAGTCCGACGAAAACTATTTAACGTCTATACATATATAAAGTTCAAAGTCAAAGTTCGGGTCAAAGTTCGTTTACGTTTTGCTGCCTGTTTATAGATGCGAATACTGTATATTCCTAATTGGATAAAAACCAAGTAAAACAAAAATCGAGCGATCCTCCAGCGAACGGATCATAGAATATCAAATCTCTGAACTTCGTCTCCGCCGTAAATAGCGCTTTTTCTCCTTTTCGTAAGGCTAGGAAAAGTTTTACCACTTTAACGGATTAACTGAGAGTTTTGTGTATCTCTCTTGGCGACTGGACGACTTTAAGGTTCTCTCTTGAATAAACGGGAGAAAGTTCCGTAGTTGCTTCCTCGTTTCCTTCAATGTGAATCCGACTATCGAGTCTCCACGGGAGTCTCAATGGAGATTATTGTATTTACGAATAAGATCATTGTATCCTGAATATTTTGTAAAAGGTAACGAGGACTATTCAAGATTGCCAAATTTACGTTGACCATTTGATACTTTTTTTCTTATTACCTAAAACCGTGACTTCAGTGTTCAACATTCTTGGCGGATGCGTGCTCACTTGACACACGTACTGCCCGTGATCTTCCTTTTGTACCGAAGATATCGCCAACCTCCAATTATTTGGATACTGGAAGTTCAGACTGTAACGTGGATCCGAGCTGTAGGTATTTTTACCAACAGTAAGAAGGGACACGCCATCTGTACTACGACGCATCCACATAACCTGTAATTGATAATAATCTATTAATCTCGACAGGTCGTACTATAGAAACGATACAGCAGGTAAGACTGGTTAACTTCTAATGAAAAGCAATCCGATAAGTCGATCGATAAAACTCTTCGAGCTTTATCGACTGGTGCAGAAAATAATTTCCACTTGGTTAAATCACGCTCAATTACATCCACTCTCGTCTTGATCAAACTGCTTATCAGGCTTCGATTACGTAATCATAGTTACCATTTTATCGGCCAGCATCGCTACCCGGCAGTCCAATAGTGCGCTCGTACCTAAATGCAGTGCAACAGTTTGCGACTCGCTGATTCCTTCTCCTTCGGCATTCTCGAAATACGGACCCCAGTGCGTCACGTGATGATGCCTCAGATGGGGCAACTTCATCGGAGGCAGCTGAACCCCATTTTCTTCTGAAACTTAAAAAAGACCCAAAATTAAATTTTTGACTTTGACTCGAGCTTCTTGGAAAATGAAAAAAGGTTTGAGAATGAAGTATATGCTCTTTAATTTAATTAAACCTGGGCTACGTTAGATTAGATTAGATTAGGCGAAGTTGGGTCAGGTCAGCATCTGAATTTCCCAGCTTCACAATGAGGAGATGCTACTACAATGGATTATTTTATGTCAACTTTACTGCCGTCTTTAGGGTGGCAGCTTAAACTTTCTCAAACATTCCCCTCGTTTGACTAAATCGTCCGTTTCACCATGAATATAACCACCCCCTCTGTAAATCGCATCATCCCCGTACAATTATCAAATGCAGAGACCTTCCATTGAATCCCCAAATTGAAATAATAAGACCGAGAAATACAAGAGAGATTCAATTGCGAAAGAGACGTTAAGCTTCGAAATTTTCAGTCGAAAGTTCCATTATTTATTATCACTTCTATAGTAATAAACCTACGTGTTGCTTATACGTTACAAATTTGAAAAAGCATCATACAGGAAATGCGCAATAAATAGTTCATGGCATACTACATACATGGTATAAGAGTAAACTTGGCTAGGGGAACCTAAACACGAAAGGCACATTAGAGGTCCAGTGACGTCATTGGATAACAGCCAAGGGTGCCAGTGAAGTATGCAAATAAGTATTCAACCTTTGTGGACTATTTCCACCTAAGGACATAACCTTTAACCCCTGACAATATAAGTCCTATTCAAATCATTCAGACATTAACAAATAAATGACAGATGACGTTTATAATTACAATTTTACTAATTTGTTTTCTGTTTCAAAAAAACAAGTATGACGAGCAAAAGCAACCGTGAGGCATTAACGAATTTCTTTTAGTCGGGAGTGTGAAAGTGGGTGGGAAAATTGATAATTTATTAGAAGAAATTTGATACGTGTAACGAGAATGAAATTTTACTGGTAATATCGTCGAGTATCCTTTTCATAAGTCGAGAAGACGCTCTCTTTAATTCTCTACTTTTCTCTCGTTACCTTCCTGTCTCTTCCTATCCTTTCGTTTTCCTTCCTTTAAGCGAAAGAGAATTCTCTCCATCCTGCGCGCCTATTGTTTTAGTCGCTTTTCTCTTAGAGGCCCTTCTTGAACAGATATCGCTCCTTGACTCTACCAGTAATAGGCTCCCACTGACACGTCCCGGATATGACAAGATAAATCCTCAATCTAATTTTTCTGAAAGTACCATTTTCCCAAGACTTTCATGTAAGCTCCGCAAGATTTCCATCGCTCGCAGCTGCGCTAATGGAATTTACAAGGGAAGTCAGAGAGGGGCCTTCTGAAGTCCCGAGTTCAACCGGAAACCCGATAGTGGTTGGGAAGGATAAAATCGATCGGGACGGTACGGCAAAATAGACAACGATGCACTGGGTGCTCGAAGCTTCTTCAAACTTCTCGATTCTGGATACCTACGTGCGCCTAACTTGAGAATGTTAAAATCGTTCTTGAGGAAGATCCCCAAGGTACTATCAAGAATCCGTAACCCTTAACCCCATTTGTTGGCGATATGCAGATAGCCGCTGAGCTTTCAAAGAGATTGCCTCTGCATCGTTTCATTATGGAGAGCTTGCAATTCTGAAAAAAAAGGAGTCCGTGCTGAAATCTTTTAACGAGATACGAAATATCCAAGTTCTCGCTGGGCTCTGTTATTATTTTGGATCAGCCCTGACCAACTCGTTGAACGGCAGAGAATGGTCCAGGAGTAAGAAGAGACGCCGGTAGCAGCTTTCTCAAGTCAATGGAGCAATATCCGGTCCAGGCTGTGAAAAACTTGGATGCTTAAAACGCTTGAGATTATTTGCGAACTCGTTGTCTGGGATAGGGGAGAAGGAGAATGAAACTATCAGCGTAAGAACGTGCGAAGGTAGAGCGAGGAAATGGCGACAGTGCCGAAAGAGGATGATGACGACTATAACGACAACGATGAGGAAGAGCGAGGGAGAAAAAATGGGACCAAAAGTGAAGCCATGGGTGAAGCAGTGACAGAATCCGTTCATTTAAGTCATTGGATGAACTTTTTTGTGAGCTTGCAGGGACTTAATATATCAAAGCTCTGACTCATCTTTTAGAGAAGAGGAAGACGTATTCATCCTCAACAAGTCTCGGGATGAAGTCGCAGAGTACCAGGCCGACTTGAAATTACGAAAGGTCCTTGGAAAACGGAAAACTTCTGTCTTCTGCTTTTAAAACTTCATCATCTAGACATGGTCGACCATCTTTCTTCACTGTCTATATACTGTCTGTATATCTGTGTATATGTCTGTATATATGGCCTGTGTATACCTAACCTCGTGGCCACCCAGTGACCAACTATTTGAGGTAACTTTGTGGTCCTGCATTATGGTTCATGGCACCGACAGGGTTCGCTGAGATAAACCAAACACGACTCGTGTTTCAGAGTGAACTGGTACGGCCCATAACTTAAATCTTTAAGTAGAAGCAACATGGCGAAGACATAATTTGACTTTGAGTAATTTCAACTGGGCTTGAATTGGTAAGGATGATTAAAATTTATTTTCTGGTTAAATTTTTATCGTTAGATGACACTTACGTATTACGTGTTAATAAATTATAGTAAATATATGTATATTATTTGAATTTTTAATTAAACATTTATTTTTGGTTTGATTGTCATTAGTTATTACGAATAAGCTAGTTTAAATTGTAAATTGAAGAAAGATTTCTTGCTTCAAATGCATCTAACAGTTCAGTTGGTTCAATTGTACCTACGTGATACCAATTTGCAGTAAAGGTGGACCCTGGATGTAGTGTGAATTGAGATGGTAGAAGAATCCGTTGTTATTGGATAGGAGAAATAGAAGAAGGAAATACAGGAAAAAGAGGAAAATATTAGCTGAGACAAAAATTGCATCTGCGGTAACCGTTTAAATTCTCAACTTTTTCAACCTACGTAGCTCATTTTCATCATTTAAAATCCCTTTCTTTTCGAGGATTAACAACGTGAAAGTCCCGTTGGTACAAAAGAAAAATATTCAGCGTTCACTTTATTATAGCATTTTGTGAGAAGACCAATATCGATTCAACATAATAAAAATATTAAATTCCCTTTAGGAAAGTAAAAATTAATAAAAATCAGACATTCTCTTTACGACTAAATATCATGAAACTTGGTCCTTAACCTTCGTAATTCACTACGCGAATACAAATCTTTGATATCAATGATAGTAATATCTCTTCAGCTTGTCAATTGATAATCCTTGAATGAATGGTCCATTCGAAGATGCTGCGTCGATCCCACCCCTATGAGGTATTTCAGTATAGAAAGTTCTTCGTCAGATATATTCAGTGACCTATAGAGGGGGGTGACCTTGGAATAACTTAATACATAACGGTAAATGGTAACGCGCATTTCTATAGATCTTAGGCCTCTCCCTCTATGTAGAAGACTGGGATTCGTGGGAAGCCTTTGAACGGATACATCCATCACGTTTATCATTGTCCATCGTTCATGAGAGGGACACCATAAACTTCTACGATGTTCGATGACGCAAAGCCTTGGGGGTTTCGATAACATCGATGTCGTTGGCAGCTTTGGACAGGAAGAAGCATGGCAGAGGAAGAGGCGTGCGATTTTAGTAACTTCGCGAAGGGACAGACGTCATGTTCCTGAAGTTCATGGGGATGAAGCTTATAGTTAATTCGATTACTGGGATCGTGACTTTCAGGTTGTTTTCGCACTTTTGCGGGAACAGGAAAGTGTCAGTCTCTTGTATCCTGACAACATGATTTTTTACGATCATTCCTATTGCTCCTTCTATACAGTTTTGCACTCCGTAAAATGGAATCGGAAAAGGCATCAATTTTTATAGGGTCTCAATCTTATCAATATTCGTTTTATACTTTCTGACGTTCAAGTAAGCAGCTACTAAAAAGTATAAGGAATATTTTTCTTCCCGCTTCTTCTTTATCAGTTGAGCATGTACAGTGCTAATTAGTACTTATTGGTTCAATTAGAAATGGAAATCGCACTTAGGAGGTAACTTGTGGGGTAATTATAACGGGGCTCGATACTTTAATTCGATTAGAGATAAGTAACCAAAGTTGGGTTGAGTCCTGACCCTCTGAGACTCCTAACGGGTGTTTAGTTTTTTAAGCTACAGGCAATATTTCATTTTTTTTCTGCTTACCCTTTTTTCCAGTGGATACGAATTTTAGGTACCTCCTGTCATTTCAGATCTTTCACGATGATCGTAGAGTACTTGGACCCTGGTGTATTGCACCTTTCCTGTGGCTTCATATATTATTGCCGTACAAAATCGTATGAACTTTAGAATCTGCATTTTCTCCAACTTTTCGGATTTCCACATACAGATAAATCTAAATTGATAGTTGCCGATCTGATGACAATTACCCGATCGTTATATCGCGTCATTGGTTTTCAATCCTTGAATTTCTTTTTTTCTTTGTATCCAGACGTCAGCACCCGGAAATCCAACAACCATATTTTATTCACGAATATAAAACTTCCGGTATCACTGCGGACGACTTGGGTATTCATGCATTTATCCATCTACCTCATAACTACAGTGCAGTATACTTTAGTAAGGTAAAAGCATTTCTTGAAGGAGCCAGCATCGCCCCACGGAAGTCCATTCTGAACACAAAGTAAAATGACCAGGCACGATTCCACCATACGAGTCCCGTACTAGGTCAACGGAAGCTAAAGTAGAGATAAAACTATTCTCTCGTTTGACTTGGCCTTTCTCCTTTCGATTGATGGTTCTTTGCGTTCGTTCTGGATTTATTTTTTTTATTTTTCATCGTATTTTGCTCGTTTTGCGTTTTTTTATTTCTACTGGATGATATTCGATGTACGGTATAGTACTATAGTGCCCAAAGGAGAGTATCCGTGATAAGATGAAATCGGTCCAACTAATCTAGCTGCTGGCACTGAGCACGATATTTCGAATTTATTTCACCTCGTTATT